CTGAGAGTTTGTATTTTACGCTTAAGCGGTCACTTCCTGCGCTTGAGCAGTCACACTTTTTGTGTCTGGACGCTCGGGTGACACTTTTTGCGCTTGAGCGGTCTACGCGTATATCAAAATCGTAGAGTCATCTTTTTGAGTCACTTTTTCATTTCTCTCTCTCTAAACATTCTAAAAATCCTAGATTTAGATCTTCTCTCTCTAAAACTCACATTCTCTCTACAAATACACCTAGATCCATTGATTTATTCACCCTAGTCTCTTTGACAAAAAGGTAGAGCACATCAAGGGCTTTCTTTTGATCGAAGCAAAGTTGGTTTTCAACGTCCTTGAGGTTTCTCCACTCTCTCTCTCTCTCTCTCTTTCTCTCTCTCTCTATTGTCTTCTCTTCACTTCAAGAGATAAGGCCTATTTTCTAAACTCAATATGAGCTCGGTAGCATATTTGTGACATATCTTGTTATTTATATTAGGTAGTCATTTTGTTGATCTTGAAATGTTATTGTGGGTTGAGGGTTGTACAAATTGAGGGTTGTTTAGTTATGATTTTGCTATTAAATTTATTTTTGATAAACAAACTTGCATTTAATTGTCTAAAAGAGAAAAACCCCAATCTGTAGAAAAACCCTAAATGATATTGTTTTGGGAGTTGGAGTTGGATTGATTTTGGTAAATGGTTTGGTTGGAAAGAGATAGGAAGGAAATGGTTGTGGGATTTTAAAAATGGGTGTTGTTACACTTTTGGAAAATATATCTATATTGATATCTTTTAATTATTGCATTAAAGATAACTGTTTTGGCTATCAGTGGTGGATAGCATTGTTGTGTGTTAGAAATTACATGTGGATTAGACAAACTAAAATCATATATATCATTTGGCATGCCATGGATTTGGAACTTTATGTTTTCTTTGGAAAAGTTTTTTTAAAACACTTTTATTATTTGTTTAAACAGAGTAAATATCGGGTGGAATTTGGGTAAGGGTGTAGTTATGTTTGAATTAAGTTGGCCTTTGTGTCACAAAAAAAAATAAAATAAAATAAAAAATCATTAATTACAAAAAAATATATATTTTAACAAAAAATATTTTTTTTTGACGACGGCAACTCCCGTCGTAAAAAAAAAAAAGAAAGTTAAACGACATTATTTTGTTATTTAAATTTCATTTCTAACAAAAAAAAATATTTTTTATTCCCGCCTGTTTTTGTTTTCCATTCCCGCTCTATTCTCTCTCTCTATCTCTTCTATCCGTCTCTCACTTATCTCTCTCTCTCTCACCACCCATCTCCTCTACCACCTTCACCACTACTGCAAACGTCATTCCACCACCACCACTACTTCCACTGTCGCCACTTCACCTCTACGACTACCATTACTACTACCATCACCACCACTCCACTACCACCACTACCACTACTGCCACTACTACTATCATTACCTTCTTTCACCCCTTCCACTCCATTTACACAATCACTATCACAACTTCACCACTAATCTCTTTCGCCATCACCATCACCATCACCACTACCATCATCTCTTATCCACAACCTTCACCACTACTACCGCTCCATTTCCTCTACCACAAAAAATTAGTTCATGATTTTTAGTAACAAAAAAAAAAATAGGCCGCAAAAAAATGTTTTTCATTGACTATAGAAAATTAACTTTTATTTTAGTGGAAAATATTTTTCATTAAACTATTACCCCTACTTCTACCAAATAAAAAATAATAATATTTTTTTTAATTAAAATAAAAATGAAACAAATAAATTTTCAATCTTAGTAACTAAAAAAAAAAGAGAATTTTTTAAAAAAAAATTCATTAACTACAAAAAAATATATATTTTAACAAAAAATAAAATTTTTTGACGACGGCAACCCCCGTTGCAAAAAAAAAAAAGAAAAAAAAATTAAAAAAACATTATTTTGTTATTTAAATTTCATTTGTGACTAAAAAAAAATTTTATTTTTATTCTTGCCGCTTTTTTTTCCCATTCCCGCTCCCTTCTCCCCCCCTCCCCGGGAACAAAAAAATCCCCAATCTCTTCTTACCCCCCCTCTCTCTCTCGCGATCGACGGCGAGCGGCGTCGGAGCAGCCCTGTTGTGAGGCCAACTCGTCACTCGATTGTTTGCGAGGCTGCTCCGAATAAGAAGGCCAATTCGGCTGCGAAGAGAGCTCGTCAAGCAGAGAAGAGGCGTGTCTACAACAAAGCTTGGAAATCCGAGGTCAAGACTCGGATGAAGAAGGTATTTTATTTGTGGGTTTGCTTGTTTCTTAATTGTAGACTAAAGTGGTATTTGATTATGTTGAGTTTTACAGGGTTATTTCAGTTTTGAATTCATGTTTAGGCTTCTTGATGATAATGTATTGAATTTGCTTTTGTGTGTGTGTGTGTGTGTGTGTGTGTGTGTTTTGGGGGGGAGGCGCTTGGGGAAGTAGATTATTGGGGGTTTTGGCTCATTTGCTTTATGCAATTAGAGTTATTAAATAATTGTGCATTTGTTATAATGATGAATTGTAGTTTTGGTGGCTTTCCTTTTGCTAAAAACTTGGATCTTGAATTTGTTATAAGGGGAAGGAAAAGTAAGGGGAAAAGAAAGGAAAAGGAAGTGGAATGAGAGAAGCTAACTTCTTACTTTTGTTTGGTTGGCTGAGAAAATTACAAGAAATTGAATAAGCATTTGTTTGAAAATCCTTTTTTTATTTTTTATTTTTTTTAATTTTTAAATTTTATTGCTCGATTAGCTCAGATCTCCTTCTTACATTGCTCGATTAGCTCAGATCTAGCTCTGTTTTTCACTTTCCATACCCTTTTTTTTTGTTGCTAAATATGAATATGCTCTCTCAGTGTTCGTTTCAATGTTGCTTTATGTTGTTATATGGTTTTGGACAAGGGTGTTTCGCTGCCCTTTTGCTTCAATGTCTTGCTTTATCTTCTAAACTCTGATGATATTTTGGTGTTGCCAGGATTTAGCTTAATTAGCTTTGAAGAGCAAATTTCTTTATCCATTAGTGTTGTTGTTGTTCCTATGTTAGCATTTTAGCCAAATCTGCTAATGCATGAACATCTTTATTGTATTTAGAAGTGTGTAGTTAATTGATTAGACAGTGGCATTTTATAACTTATGGGATTGAACTCTATATCTAACAGAATGGATAATTCAATATTTAGTTGGAAAAATGAAAGTCGAACTAATAATTCGATCGAACTAATAATCTTTCATATTTATCAAATGGATTTAATTGATTTTTACTTAATGCATTTAATTTTTAGTATTGAATTAGGTTATAAAATATTACCTCAGTTGACATTTGACTCTTGTAATGGAATTAAATGAATAAGAATGAAAATTAGAGTTTTTAATAATAAAAAAATTAAAGCTTAGGTTAATTAGATTTCACTTAACATTTTAAAATTTAAGTCATGACAGCTTGTGAGCACCTGAATTGAATTGAAGAGTTGCTACACTCCATCTATACCTTCGCATAGGGCAGAATCAAGGGTGGAATTAGAAATTATACTTAGGAGGGGCCAAGGTAGAAATTTCACTCTCTCTTTGTTCTTTCTATATACATATATACTGGTACTGCTCCATATATATATATATATATATAGTGTTGATTCATTCAATATCTTATATATCCTGTTCATATCTTGATTCATTCAATTTATAGTGTTGAAAACACAATAAATAGGGGACATTAATTTTGTTAGTGTTTTTTTTTTCCTTTTAATTTGAATTGTTAAATTTACATTTAGTGTTTTGTGAAGGCTGGAGATTGAAAACTTTTGTTATCTTTCTTCTTGTTAGAGTTTAAAACATCAAAAGAAATGGAAGTCAGATCCAAATTATACCAAATCATGGTATGACAGAGGTGCAAAAATTTGTCAGGCTGAAAAGTTTAGGAAGGGTGCTTGTGAAAAGTAAGTGAAAGTTGCTTTCTTTCTCTTTCTTTCTATGTATGGTACATGCATGTGTTCTCTATTCTTTTCATTAATTTTTGCAATGGCTAGTCATTGACACGAAGATGTAATCAATATAGATTTTAGTTGTAGAAGAGTTTCATGTAATCTGCTTGTTTCAGTACCAAGGTTTAAACTATGGAGGTTCTACCCTGCCTTATGGATGAGAACTTTGCCTTAGGGAGGGAAGAAGAGGTATTGGTGGGATGGGGATAGTGTGGCTGGGGTTGGTTGTGGTTAAGTCTTAGCGTATCATTTTGTTTAATACATTGAAAATTTTAACATGCACGGGTGACAATTTAGAAGTAAAAACTATAGAGCTAAGTTTTTAAAAGATATTTGTGTTTCTCAGGAGCTCTGTACGACTTTCGAGTCGTACAACGCCACAAAGTTTTTAATTTTTCTTATTCACACACACGTCATATTGAATTTTTCTATTGTTGACCTTCGAGTCGTACACCCCCATAAACCCGTAATTTATCTTATTTTCACACATCATATTGAGTTTTCTTATTGTTTTTTAGTACCCATCATGTGCTGTTAGCATCCTAAACAGAATAAATTATTATTTTTCAACATGGTATTAGATTCCAACACATGGATATATAATCATGAATATATATATATATATATATATAGTGTATTTGTGTGTATATTCTTCTCATTTGTTTTTGTTCTCTCTAATAAACCAGCCTGGATTTCAATAGATTACCCATAATTCTATTATGCAACTGTTTTGGTTCAAAGCTGAATATTGTTTTTCAATTTAAAGATCGACATAAGAAGAACAAGAAGAATCAAAACCCAATAATTTTTACCTCGAAAGGAATCCCAAAAGTGAAGGAGTATAATGTAAATTTAAATTTGTGTAACATGAACTACATCTAAAATGATGTATTCCACACATTTTCTAAGTAATTTTCCGAATAATTTTTCTAGGTACGTATTGTTGTTGAATTTGAAATGTGTTGGATCTATCTCTCAGGAATTAATGGAGGCATGGAACCATCTGAGGAACCACCTGCTGTCAATTTTGCATTTGTCAGTGTAAGTTCATATGTTGTATTTTTAATTCTAGTATCTACATGTAATTTCTTTTTTTGAGGAACTATTAATTTATGTGCTATGTAGGTGTGCAATGGAAGTTTGCTAATGAGTTTTGTGTTTTTTGAAGTCTGTGTTGCTTCCTGATGGAACACCGGATGTGCACTTTCGAGTAGCTTGTGGTGGGCAAAAACTTAGGGACATTATGTTGGATTCTAATATTGAATTGTATGGACCATATGTAAGTAAGGCCCCCTCTCTCTTTTCGCATTCTGCAACTACATTAACAAGTTTTGAATGTGAAGAAAGGCTCAATTGTTTTGTTTTGAAAGTGAAAAAAAAATGATTAATTATACCCACTGTTCCTATAATTTGCCTCTTGTGTCCATTTTTTCTTTGTAGTTCATTATATCAATTTTGCTTGTCAATTTATTCAAAGTGATACACTGAAAGTGCAGTATTTGAGCTAATGAATAGCTGAAATATGGTTTATGTGTTTTGAATTTTCAGTCCAGACCTCTGCTAAATTGTAGGGGAGGAGGAACTTGTGGGACATGCATTGTAGAGGTGAGTTATTGATTTCGAATTTATTATTACTAACCAAGCAGAGTCCTAATCATAATTCTTAAAAAAAATAGCACAAAAAAGTAAATGTGTTGCCAAGTAAGAAGAATTTGAAACACACATTGATTTTTCTGCGCACGTTTCTCTAAAGTTGTGCATGTAGCATTATTACTTATAAAAATGATGTTATTATCACTGACATCATTTGGGTATAGCTTCATAATTGTTGGTGCAATCTCACGTGGAAGGTTAAGAAATGTGACAATGCATCACTTGTGTTGTGATGGTTTTTTATTTTTTATATTCTAAAGATTTTTTATTTTTGTCTTTGTTAGGTCGTTGAAGGGAAGGAGCTACTAAACCCTCGAACAGACAAAGAGAAGGAAAAACTTAAAAGGGTATTTAACAGATCATTTGCAGTCATCTAAATATACCACTAAAAATATATAAAATAAAAAAAACCCTTTAATTCTACGAGTTTGTGATGTTTGTGTTAGTTTACTTGGTTCGGCAAAAAACGTGTCTAATGTTTGTGCTAATTGTACACAACTAATTGCAGAATCCAAAAAATTGGAGGCTTGCTTGTCAGACTACGGTTGGAAAACCAGATTCGAGAGGCTTGGTTTGTAGTCCATCGTCTTCCATTTTTAATGAATTATTTGATTTTAAAACTTTAGTCTAAAGTGTATCTTATTTATTTTCTAAGCAAAAAAGATTTTCAAAATTTCACCGGATATTATTATAATTATTTTTATTTTATTTTAAATATAATTGTTGTTTTTGTTCTGCAGGTTGTAATCCAACAACTGCCTGAATGGAAAGGGCATGAATGGAATTATAATAAAGAACCTCCTTCAGAATCAGAACCCTGAGATTCATTCATTCATTCATTTAATTAATGTACTTTCTTTTGTTTTACTAACTATATACTTAAATTTATGTAAATCTTCCTTTTAAAGAAAATGCACACTAACTAAATCTTTGTTTTCTTTTGCATCGGTTATTCTGTCATCGCAAATAGTATTTACAATAGCTTAAAAGTGGACAAACAAAAATGTTAGACACAAAAATCACTTTTTTTGGGGCAGTTCTCTTGTCGCCAAAGTTCTTCAATATTCCATTATTTCTCATCAATTTTAAGGTATTTTGATAATGCATATATAGGGACGGAATCCGAATTTCATCATCAGAAAGGCAAAAAATTTTATTATACCATATACACAAGCACATATATCTATCTAATATGATATATAAATTATTTTTTATTTTATTTTATTATTATTTTTTTGAGACGGCAGCTTACTCACCGTCTCAAATAGGGGTTTTTTGCGACGGCAGTAATGCTGTCGCAAAAGATAGGGCATTTGGTTGAAAATGATGACTTTTAGTGACGGTGTAATTTGCCGTTGCCAATAGTACTTTAGCGACGGCAACAAGTGTTGTCTCAAATAACCCTTTAGCGACAGTACTCGTGCCGTCGCAAATATCTCTTTTAGCGACGGCAAAACAGTGTTGTCTAAAAAAAAGTCAGATTTTCACGCGTTAATGGCGACGGCATTTTTCCGTCACAAAAAGGCTTCTTTGCCGTCGCAAACCAAAGGCGACGGCGTCATACCGTCGCTAAAGCCCTTTTGCAACTCCCTCTGTTGCAACCCCCCACGTGCCGTCACAAAAGGCCACTTATCGTCGCAAAAAACCTTTTGAGACGGAGTTTTGGGTATTCGCGACGGCATTTTACCGTCGCAAAAAATCAATTTTTCTGTAGTGTTTGTTATGAAATCCTTATGATTCCTCTAGGAGTGTAAAAATGGACTGAGACCTGTGGGTGACTCGAAATCCGCCCGCAGCCCATAATGGGCTCGACCTGGTTTGGTCTAGGCCCGAGCCCAGTCTAAGACATTAGGCTTGAGCCTAGGCCGTCATTTTCAAGCCTAGCCCGGCCCGACTGGACTCGAAAAAATTTTGAGCCCTGCGGGAAGCCCAGCCCAACCCAGCCCAGCAGCCCTTCCACTTCCCTCTCTCTCTACCAAACTGCCAATAGTCAAAATTAAAATAAAAAAAATATATATGCTGCAACTTGCAACGGTAAAAATAAAAATAAATAAATTAAATAGTTATTTTATTGCATAAACTGATGCACTGCACTGCGCTACCCCATGCCAACAGAAAATAATAATAATAATAATAATAATAATAATAATAATAATAATTTAAATGTCTGCAGCTGCAAACTAAAAATAAGAAAAATAAAAAAAATTCATATGGTCACATGACCGTTTAACACAATTTATATTTACAAATTAAACCCATATCCCAAACTCCTATACATATCCCCATCTTCCAAAATAAATCTCACAAACAATTTTCTCTCTCAAACTCTCAATCTCTCAATTAATTTTAAAATCTCATCCCTAAGTAGTAATTGCAATTGTGCAAGTAGAATCTTTTATTCGAAGAAACTAATTTTTGTATCACATTCACCAGTCGATAACATTAATTAGTTTAATTAAATTTAGGGGCATTTACATACAAGTCTCATTTTGTAAACTTATAATCCATTAAGTCCTAAATAAAATTATTTGCTCCTTCAAGTCCCATTAATTTTTAATAGCCCAATTTATCCTTCCAAGACCTCCTCATAGCTACCAAACATCATTATTAATAGAAACGCAATTGAACCTAATAAAAACAACAGAGTCTATACACTTACATACAAGTTAGATATGATAAATTGAAGCATACATATATATATATATATATTCATACAGATTACATATATGTATGCAAACCTGAACACGAGGGGCGTTGTAGTTTGGTTGCCGAGGCGGGGGAGAAGCCCTTACAGCGGCGACGTTGGGGCTGAATCAGAAAGAACCACCGTTGCGTCGGATCTCCTTCCCGTATCTGAGGGAGTGCGTTCCACTGACCAGAACGATATCGAAGCCTTAATGAGAAGTGGAGATTAGAGCTCATTGAAGGACACCACCGTTTGCTGATTGCTCACACTCCCAAGGATTGGAGTTCGAATGCCTGAAATTGGGAGAGAGAGAGAGACTGTTTGCAGAGAGTTTGAAACACGTGCTCGACTACATTGTTCTTCTGAATTCTAATTTGAAATTGAGAACATTCTCAGTTTATAATATTCTCAATTTTAATCATGAAAAAAATTGAGAAAATTCTCAAAATTGATAATTATAAATTTCTTAGTTTTGATAATATTTTTAGTTCATACTAGAAAAAAATTGAGAAATTTCTTAGTTTTGATAATTATAAATTGAGAACATTCTCAGTTTTAAAATTGAGAACATTCTCAGTTTTAGCGTTGACCCAGTTTAACGGCAATGCTATTATATATACACTTGTTTGGGTTAAAGGGCAAAAACGCATTTTTACATGTATGTTAGGTTTTATTTCTTGGCAATCCCGTTTGACAAAACTCCTTTGAGTTGTAATTTTATTCGCACTTTTTATTTCAGTGAGGCTATGAGTGTTTAGATGCGAATCCAACCCGAATTGTGCTTTTCAGAGAAGTTTGTGTTTAAAATTAATTGTTAGTTCTTATATATAATTTTAGTTACATTGCTATGGATCCTAATATTTTTAATATTTATGTCGATATTGATGCATATACTACATAACATGAATATGTTGATTCTCCTTCTACTGTACCTAATATCCCTCCTCTAGCAACTGGATCATCATCTAAGAGCACAACTAGTGGTGTTTGAGAACATTTCAAAAAAAATATATATCTATAAATAATCTTCATGGTACAATTACATTTAAAGCAAAATATAACTATTGTACACATTAACTTAGTGCTGCATCTACAGGAGGCACTAGTTATCTAAAAAGGCATACTAACAAACATTTACAAAGTCAATAACATGATATTGGAAGTCAAATGCAATTAGGGGGCTTTATCAACAGGTCGTCTGCAAATATTTTCATATGATCCTATACGTCCACAAAATTCTGTAGTTGATTATATTATTAAAAAAGAATAATCTTTTACTACTAGTGAATGTCCTGATTTTGTCCAAATGATTCACGAAAATTTTGCACCGCAATATCAAAGATTTTCAAGAACTACAACTAAAAATAGGATTTTTAAGAAATTTGAGGATATTGAAAATGAATTATTTGACATCTTTAAAAAATGAATGGAAGAGTTTGTTTAACATCTGATCTGTGGTCAAATAATAGTTTAGAATATCAATGTATCACTGCACATTTTATTGATAATGATTGAAAATTAAATAAAAGAATTACTTGTTAGTGGTGATTTATTTCATGTTCGTTATTGTGCCCATATTTTAAACTTGATTGTTAAAAAAGCTATGTATGTATACATAAAGCGATTCTGGTTTAGACCCGACCTGTTGATGTTTTGGATTCGAGTTTCATTGTTTTAGATGGTTGTTCAAGTTTGGTTTCTCCTTATTTCTCATTGAGTTTGGTTATTGGAGTGTCTTGGTTACATTTGGAGCATGTTGGTAGCTTGTTTTTCAAAACCGTTGTTGCCCAATTTTGTGTCTTCGCTCGAGCGGCACTTCCTACGCTCGAGTGGTATTTGTGAACTTCTAGTACTTTTGCAGGTTTACAGAGATACTAGGAATTGACATTCTTCGCTCGAGCGGTCTTTCTTGCGCAGTGGTGTTCGCTCGAGCGGTGGTCTTCTTTCTGCAAAACTTCTGAGAGTTTGTATTTTATGCTCAAACGGTCACTTCCTGTGCTTGAGCAGTCACACTTTTTGTGTCTGGATGCTCGGGTGACACTTTTTGCGCTTGAGCGGTCTGCGCGTATATCAAAATCACAGAGTCATCTTTTTGAGTCACTTTTTCATTTCTCTGTCTCTAAACATTCTAAAAACCCTAGATTTAGAGCTTCTCTCTCTAAAACTCACATTCTCTCTACAAATACACCTAGATCCATTGATTTATTCACCCTAGTCTCTTTGACAAAAAGGTATAGCATATCGAGAGCTTTCTTTTGATCGAAGCAAAGTTGGTTTTCAATGCCCTTGAGGTTTCTCCATTTTCTCTCTCTCTCTCTCTCTCTCTCTCTCTCTCTCTCTCTCTCTATTGTCTCCTCTTCACTTCAAGAGGTAAGGCCTATTTTCTAAACTCAATATGAGTTCGGTAGCATATTTGTGACGTATCTTGTTATTTATATTTGGTAGTCATTTTGTTGATCTTGAAATGTTATTGTGGGTTGAGGGTTGTACAAATTGAGGGTTGTTTGGTTATGATTTTGCTATTAAATTTATTTTTGGTAAACAAACTTGCATTTAATTTTCTAAAAGAGAAAAACCCCAATCTGCAGAAAAACCCTAAATGATATTGTTTTGGGAGTTGGAGTTGGATTGATTTTGGTAAATGGTTTGGTTGGAAAGAGATAGGAAGTAAATGGTTGTGGGATTTTAAAAATGGGTGTTGTTACACTTTTGGAAAATATATCTATATTGATATCTTTTAATTATTGCATTAAAGATAACTGTTTTGGCTATCCGTGGAGGATAGTATTGCCGTGCGTTAGAAATTGCATGTGGATTAGGCAAATTGAAATCATTTATATCATGGAGCATGTAATGGGTTTTGGAAATTGGAACTGTATGTTTTGGAAAAGGTTTTGAAAATTCTCATATTATGTTTTGGAACATTTGCATTGTTTTGGAAAAACAATATTTAGAGTTACATGTACTGTACTATTGAAAAGATTAAATAAAATGGTGAATCTAGGAAGTCAGTATTGTCTCGTTGAAATAAGTCGGCCTAAGTGTCTATGGTGAAAGTCCTAAAAATCGTGCGTATATATAGGTGTCGATCCCGCAGATGAAATATTCGTAAAATGGCAATAGTAGCGCTTGTATAGCCTACGTTAACATGGGTGTCGGTTTACGATTTCTCACGGATAAAATTTATGTGAAAA